GGACAAGGCAGCCCAGTGAGCAGCTCCTGCTATCCATGGGATTAGGAGGACTCACAAGAGTGAAGCCCAAATATTCAGATTTCTGATAGGATTTTTAGATATTCAGCACAAAACTCTGCTGAGGGAATCACGAACCCTGCAGCCAGCGAGCAGCTAATAGATTCAGTAGATTTAATAGGGTCATGATGACCATGTCAATCATTCTGCAGTATGATATCCCAACTCTGACCAGTATCATGGATAATAAATTTAGCCACGGTGCAAATTTACTTTAAATTAAATCAGATCTTTATCAAAGAGGATAGAATTGATGTTAAAAATTGCTCGTTACCCCTACTCCCTCCATCTCTGCTATTCCCCCACCATTGCTGCTCCCCTTGCAGAGCTCCACAAACATTTCCTGTCACATCCCTGCAGTCCCAGCTCACACCACCATCCCCAGAGGGGACTCTTTTAATGCTCAAAGCAAAGAAGGGGGATTTGTACACAGGGAGAGGAGCAGAATCATCATTTCTGTCACAAAGCCTTCCTGCTGTAGGTGTCTTTTGCTTGTCTGAATTCAGACAAGCAAAAGACAGACCCAAGCTTTTCCTATAGCTATGGAGGTTAAAATCTAATCCCAACTGATCTATAGAGGTACAGGAGCATGGTGGTGGCGGTGCATTCCACCAGGATCAACAGAGCATGTCCTATAACAAGCTGCTCAAAGATATGTTTTTGTAGCTAAATATCACAAACATCTGCTGTTAATCTTAAAGGTTCATCATCAGTTTGGGTTAAGCTGAGCCCACAGAGGTATTGAGGGAGACAGTACCTCCTGCTCAGCACCACCTCACACCTTCCCTGCAGAGCCCACCATGTCCCCTCCCCAAATCAGCACCCAGATGTAAGCCAGATACACCACTGCTGAGAGCCACCACTGTGCCACCTCCATCCCCCACACAACCACCAAAAAGGATGGTTGGCAGAGGTTTCTGCTTCAGGTGTCTGGGAATTGACTCCTGGGCTGTCACTACAACAGACAGCATCCTGGTTAATGGGTGCTGAGTAAGTCACAAGTGAGTGCTTGGCATACCTTCCTGTGAGCAGGCAGTGTGTCACTGTGTGTCACCATGTGTCACTGTGCCACCTCTGAGCTCTGCTGCCAGGGGACACTGGACATCAGTGCTCGGGTGCATTTTGTCCCACGCTTGCTTTTGCCCTGCCACCCAGCCTCATTCTGTGTCTAGAGGATAACCATGCACAGTGCTCCATCACTGTGACAGCAGGGCTGCCAACCAATTCCAGCTAGAGCAGGGCTGATCCAGGGCCAGGCAGTGTGAGCACTGAGGCGTGACCCACACCAATTCCAGCAGTGTTTTCACATCCAAGTGCAGGAAGCAGGACTGTGCCCTGATTTGCTGCAGGAAGGAGTCTCCCACAGCCAGCCACAGCTCAGCACAGCAAATGGGCTGCATGGCATTGTCCGGGCTTCAGCAAGAACCTGAGTGACAATAAACTGCCTGCAATGTCCCCCTGCCCAGCTGGCCATGCCACAGCACTGCCACCCTGACATCCCTCCCCACAGCCAGGCTGCACCACAGAGAGGGAAGGGTGCACTCACCCTGGTACAAGGAGGAATTACAACCAGTGCCAGGTGCAGAGAGCTGCCGGACAGGGAGGTGACAGCCACCATGCTATGCTACCACATGTGCCCTTTGCTCCCATGAAGACAAGGACACTCAACCTTCAGTGCCCATCTCTCCCACTGCCCTGCCCCAAAGGACTCTGCAGCTGGCCTGAAGCCCTGGGCACATCTCTGCTGCTGGGTCACCTCCAACATGCCTTAGTCCCGTGTGTCCCCTCCTAAGGCTCAGTGCTTCCACAGCAGCGAATCCAAGTGACAGAGCGCACATGGTGACACTCCAGCCACACGTCCCTGCTCACCTCCTGCCTCACAGCCCTGTGACACAGCACAAACACAACCTTCTGGCCAAAAGGCAGCAAATCCTCCTATGGTCCCCAAGGTGCTAACGCCCAGCAACAATTGCCACGGCCACTCCTGCAGGCAGAAGGGTGAGCTGGCAGTGCCACACACGGGCTGCTGGCAGTGCCACACACGGGCTGCCTGTCCCGCCTGCTGCAGTGTCACCTGCAGCTCCAGGGCTTGCATCCTCCAGGCCCCCAGCACAGCAAAGTCATGCAGCCCCCACATCTCCATCCAGTAAAATTAGCTTGTATGTTGCTCTTAATACACTAGGAAGGCTTCCACAAGATGTCAGCCTAACTAAATGACAATGCTCGCCTCAGGGTGCAATTCTACTTTCCCAGCGCATGGGTTTAGCAGGAAAACCAGTTGTGTTGCTGCTCCAAGAGCGGGGTAGGTGAGAAGCCCTTAAAACCCTTGGTCCTAGCAAGCTTATTCCTGCCAATTTCTCTGTCCACACTGCATATGAGGGTTCAGGCTGCCATCAAGTTCCTGCTGTGGCAGAAGTGCCCAGGTAGCATCGGACATGGTTTTTCATGCTGGGCAATGACTATTCAGGCTCAGAAGAATGCATTTGCCTGAGTTTTCTGGGGGTTTATTCCCCAGTCTGTTGCACCCTGACACCCCAGGCAGCTCCCAAGGAACAATATAAATGTTACTGCAGCTTCCCGACTTCAGAGACTGAGATGCACACTTGAGGTAATAACTGTTAATTCACAGCAAGCGCACATAAAAACATGTTTTGCTAAGAAAAGCGCCCATAAAGTTCGCGTTAACAGTTTCCTAAACAGGAAACTCGCTGGCAAGGTGCTAAATAGCCCTTGTTTGGTTAAGGGCCAAAGAATGGAGAGCTTCAGAAAAGGAGCAACTCACCGTGTTCGAACATTAACTCTTAACTCTATGCCAAATTACACAATCTTAACGTGGGAGGAACCTACCAGCAGATATTCGTGCAAAAAAGCAAAATGTTTCCAACGATACCTAATTTCAGTCTCCTGGTAAGAGGGAAAGAGCTGACAGTTGACCTCAAATTATACCCTTTGGAATGCTGCTGTTAAACGTTATGGTAACATATTGAAATGTTATTAGAATTAAAACCAACACCTTGGATCAGAGTGTTGCACAGAGCTGCTCCAAGAAGCCTCTGCAGGTGCTGCAGAGCCGAGGTTCTGTTGGATAGCTGGAGCTGGGCCTGAGCTTTTTGTACCCTCAACATTAAACAAGAAGAATCTCTTTAAATAAGTTTATGTAATTTCTTTGCATGGATTTCTTTCACACTGGAGCAAATGTGAAAACATTTACTATGGCAGAGCAATTTAAGAAATTTATCTAACATTTCCTAATTTGCTTAATGATTAAAGAATGTTACTTTCCTGATGGGCTCATGGTAAGCTTTATTTGTTTTGCTTTAGCTTTCTTTGAGTTTTTTTGAGATTTTATTCTTGTGCGTTCATGTTCTCCATCCCTTTACTTTCCACTCAGTGCTCCCCTTGAGTCTGCCCATCCCAGAAAGGAAGCACCAGAGGCAGTGTCACCATTCCACCACAGGACAGCCAAGGGAGAAGCAGACAGAGAATAGCAGGTTTTGCTTTAAGTAATGACCTCCAAGGAACCAAAGCAAGGAACCAACACTTAATGACAAAGGTAAACAGCCATTTTATTTTAAACCCTTTTGACACAATTCATCTTCCTCCATCATCATGGGAAATTTGTTAGCTCATTACAGATCTTGGAGGTGAGAGGTGATACCTTGCTGCTATACAGCAAACATTTTCAAGTGTCTCCTCTCCATTGTTGCTTTATATCTCAAGGAGAAAATTTTAAAAAAAGCTTATCCAAGTTGCCTGGAGCAGCAAACCAGCAGCCCCCTGCACCTACATTGAGCTATGACCAAAGCAGTGGCTCCTAAGGCTTTACCCGCACATGCATCCTAAAATCATATAAAAATGTCGATCTAACCTGGTAATTTACCTTTCAGTACCAGCTGCCCCAGAGGAGAGGTTACTCTGAATAATGAAGAGCAATGAACCATTAAAGCAAGCAAACAGCACTAAGAGAGCCCACTGTCCTCCTCCTGGCTGAGTGTGCACGCTCCAGCCAGAGCCCGGCAGGGCTGAAGAGCACACACAGCTCTGCAGGGCACAGCTCTGCAGCCCTAAACTCACAGGATAACTGTTACAGACCCACCCTGCAGCCAGGGGCTCCTGGAGGTGTGTCCCCCCTCACTGAGGGAACACACAGCAGCAGGACATTGTGGGTGACCACAAGGAAGCCCTCGCACCGCTCTGAGCCCCGACTGGAAACGCCAATCTCACCATTTCCGCCCTGCACTCCAGTGCCCAGGAAAAAGCAAGTATAAAAGCCACCGTTTGGGAGGAGAAAACAGATTTTCTAGTTTCATAACCGCACACTGTCAAGCTGGATTCCAATTAAATTTTTCCTGTGCCCTAAGGCAAGCTTTGCTTTTTCCAGAAATTTCTCCTGGCTTGAAGCACTTGCCCCTGTGCCCTGCTCCGGGGCTGTACTTCCTGACACTCCTGCTCCAGCTCCAGCACTGCTCTCTGCACTTCTGCAGGGACCACAGTCGCACATAGCTGTCACACAGAGCTCTGAGCTGCCCAATCCCTCTCACCTCCATGAAAGCCGGTGCTGACCAGCATCCTCTTATTCAAACTCTGCGCATTTTGCATCTAAAAGTTCCTTTCATGCAGGGAGATTTAGCAGAAAAGTGGGAGCAGGCAGCACTCAGGCACTTCCATCCACGGCTCTGCACTGCTTTTAACCCCAGCTGAGCAGAGCCGGCGCAGATGTGGGGGGAGCAGGGTGCTGCGAGTCCCTCCCGCTCCTTCTGTCCTGGGGACGAAGGACTCCCGCCGCTGGATTTTTCCCCCTCTATCAGTGGTCTTTAACATGATCACAGCATGCAGCACAATGCTTTAAAACAGCAAAGCTTCTGGAAAACCCAAACAAAAGGAACGTCACCAGGTGACGTCAGCCTATATAGAGCCCTGTGTGGTCGCAGCGCATAAGCAAATCCATTCTTGTACCGCTTCCCTGAAAAGCTTTTCAGTAAATGCACTCATGCTACTACAGGAGCTTCTCTCAGCAATAAGCCACCCATCTGCCATCAACAAGTTAGGACTAAAGGAAGCCACAGCTGCGGAAAAGGAAAACGTGAGTTTCAATTAACCAGCTGAGCAGCCACGGAGGACAAAAACTTGTATTAACATTTATAAATTGCAGACCTGTCAGAGGAGATCAAGGCAGCAATTTCAAAAGGAATATTCCAAGAGAGCATCGTGGATTTTGCACTAATATCAAAGGACACTAAACCCAGTCAATTATTCAAGGCTGTCTTACATTAGAGCCTTTCACAGACTCACGGCGTTGAGTCTCAAACTACGACTGAATGCACCCTCCAATGTACTCAAAAGAATGGGTAAGTTCCTGCGTTTCTCTGTTCCTTGTATAATGAATGACAGCTCTGCTTTAAAGGAGCAGTTAAGATGCTAAAGCTGATTGCTCTGCACTGAACCTTATGAAAAAAATGTTTTCCGATAGCGCCACTGTATCCCTCCGTAATCGAGATAAAGCCTCCTCCTAAGTGTAATGTCCAAGTATTCGGTTTGTTGTAGTAAGTTGTTTCTTGCATTTAGAATTAGCTTGTTGGAAATGCATGGCAATGTTATCTGCAGTGAAATCTTCAACCGTGATATTCCAAGTGTACTGATAAGGCTATCCTATCTTGTTGTTTTCCTAAATTATATTCTGCAGGCTTACATTTCAAGTGGCCATTAGGGGCTCGTATGCTGGCAGCACTATATGCAATGAGTATGGTTTTAAAAATGCTGCCTGCCTTGGGCATGGCTTGTCCACCAAAATGTCGCTGTGAGAAGCTGCTCTTTTACTGTGACTCTCAGGGGTTTCACTCAGTGCCAAACACCACTGAAAAGGGCTCGCTAGGTTTGTCACTGAGGCACAATTATATTTCTGAACTTGAAAGGGATCAATTTGCAAGCTTCAGTCAACTTACTTGGCTTCACTTAGATCATAATCAAATTGCAACAGTCAGAGAAGATTCTTTTCAAGGACTGTATAAACTTAAGGAATTAGTCTTAAGTTCCAACAAAATCTTTCATTTGCCAAACACAACTTTTAGCCAGCTGCTTAACCTGCAGAATTTGGACCTCTCTTTTAATCAGTTATCCTCTCTGCACCCCGAGCTCTTCTACGGCCTTCGCAAGCTACAGACCTTGCACTTGCGATCCAACTCCCTGCGGACCATCCCGGTCCGCCTGTTCTGGGACTGTCGTAGCCTGGAATTCCTGGATTTGAGCACAAATCGCTTGCGAAGTTTGGCTCGCAATGGATTTGCGGGATTAATCAAGCTGAGGGAGCTTCACCTAGAGCACAACCAGCTGACAAAGATTAATTTTGCTCACTTCCTCCGGCTGAGCAGCCTGCACACGCTCTTCTTGCAGTGGAACAAAATTAGCAACTTGACATGTGGGATGGAGTGGACCTGGGGCACCTTAGCAAAGCTCGATTTGACTGGAAACGAAATCAAAGCCATCGACCTCACCGTCTTTGAAACTATGCCTAACCTTAAAACCCTCCTCATGGATAACAACAAGCTCACCACTCTGGATTCCAAGATCCTGAGCTCACTGACATCCCTCACCACCGTGGGCCTCTCCGGCAATCTGTGGGAATGCAGCCCAAAGATCTGCGCCTTGGCCACATGGTTGAGTGGCTTCCAAGGTCGGTGGGAGCACGCCATCCTCTGCCACAGCCCCGACCACACCCAGGGAGAGGATATTCTGGATGCAGTGTATGGCTTTCAGCTTTGCTGGAATTTATCAACTGTGGTTACCCCTGTGGCTACGACATCGTACACAGCTCCAACTACCGAGTACACGAAAAGAATAAGCTCTTCTCATTTCCATGTGGGAGACAAAGAGATTCCAACTACAGCAGGCATGGTCGTTACCACCGAAGAACAGTTCCCTGAGCCAAACAATGCCATCTTCACTCAGAGGGTAATTACAGGAACAATGGCTTTATTGTTTTCTTTCTTTTTTATCATTTTTATAGTGTTCATCTCCAGGAAGTGCTGCCCTCCCACACTAAGAAGAATTAGGCAGTGCTCAATGATTCAAAACCACAGGCAGCTCCGATCCCAAACACGGCTTCATATGGCCAATATGTCAGACCAAGGACCCTATAATGAGTACGAACCCACCCACGAAGGACCCTTCATCATCATCAATGGCTACGGACAGTGCAAGTGCCAGCAGCTGCCCTATAAAGAATGTGAAGTATAATACCTACAGCCCATCACAAAGTAAATCAGATAAGTAACCTACTTTAAAATTGTAGGGACCTACATCAGATTCTAATTTTTACAAATGTTGACATAAAACCTAATTTTCCAAGCTACTTAATGGAAACATTGTTTATGGAGTGGTGCAGTATTTTTAAGTTTTTTAAAAAATAAATCCATAATATTTTCAGTGTTAAAGAAGCAATGATTACATTCAACTTGCACTCCTAATGTTTAAAAGTCTAAAGAGATGCTCACCTCAAACTATGTGAAATGTTTCATGTTATGTAATTATATGACTATGTGTAAACATTTATACCCGAGTCTCCATATTCTACTTTTTCTACCGCAAACAGTCTTAGGGGAAGGAGACTGGATATCTGTGCAGGGATCTGTGGGGGACGTGCGCTCTGTTTGTTCCACTGCAGCTGGAGGATCCCAAACACTGCAGCTGGTTCTGGGCACTTTAAGGGCAGCCCAGGAGGAAGATTTTCCTCCTCTGAGCATTTCACTCCAGTAAGGGAAGGGAAGGAAAACAAAAGGAAAAAAAAATAAAGAGCAACAAAGGTCCAGGTAGGAATTTCAGTGCATTGGGGTGAATTTATCTGAAATAGTTTTGCTCTGTGCATGCTCACGGCTCAGCTTGCTGAAAGGGACAGCAGGCACAGAAAGGAGCAGTTCACACAGGCACACACACATGGGCACACAGCCCTGGGCAGGATGGGCACACACACGGACACACACACACACACACACACGAGCAGGATGGGCAGGACAGGCACACACAGAGCTCCAGGCAGGATGGGCACACAGAGATGAGCACTCAGCCCCAGGCAGGATGGGCGCACACACGCAGGAGCAGGGTAGGCACACACACACACACACACACACACACACACACACACACACACACACACACACACACACAGCATTCAAGCAGGATGGGCACACACCCCTCCAGGAGCAGGACAGCCCTCCGTGTGTCCCCAGATTGGCACTGCAGCTTCTTTAGAGAGGCTCAGCATGCTGGCATCGATTGGAAATATTAAGTACATTCAGTCCCCGGCTCCCTGGTTTCACTTGATGATGCTTTTCATGAATTCAGGCTAATTACTTAATGATGATGAACAAACAGCATTTCAGCACCTTTTCATGTGTAAATACCTTTAATGCAAGGTTCTCTTAATTAAAAGCAAATATCAACAGCAAGGTTAAGGAGAAGAGGGAAGGAAGAAAGGAAGGAAGGAAGAAGCCTCTCTTTGTCCCCCTGCTGCCCCCCCAGCTGAGGCTTCCTCTGGCTGGAAAGCTATTTTCATGCACTAACTCCACTGGTTTCTCTGGAGACAGAATTAGCCCCTGTAATATAAGCTCTCACTTGTCCTCCTCTTCCAAAATTCAAGATAAAAAAAGACCCCTTCTGATAAGTTAGGAGAATATGATTAGTTTATAGAATAGTTCACTGAAAAATGTTTTGTTTCTTACTCGATATGGGACAGAATCTAAACTAGTATGACTTTTTAAAAAATCATATATAAATATATATACACATACACCTCATTCTAAGGGTAATTTGGTTTCTTTAGCCAGAAGTACCATATTGCTATTTATACTCTATTATGGAATTATATGTAAATATTTGCAGATCTATGCAGTGATGGTGGTACTCAGATGCCACAAGGGTGGGAGGGTGGGGGGGTCTGCAAAGGATTACATTATTTTTAAGTCAACTGCTCAAATATTGTAAACATTCTAACCAAAGCTAAAAGATTCAGAGGGATGGAGAATTATTTTATATATATATACATGTATGTATAACTAAAAAATGTGTTGTGTCCAATGCTGCAGTGTTAAACAATTACCAGCACACCCCGATGAAGAAACGAAATTCCTCACAGTGTTGCCATACTTTGACCCAATCCATAATTACAGTACGCTAATTGTGATGTACTAAACTATCCTGCAAACTTTTTAAACAGAAAAACCACTGCACAAAAATCCGTTTGCTATTTCACTCTGCTTTTCTCTCTGTATTGCCACTTAGTGAGGTATTTAGGGTGCAATTATACAACAGTTTGATGTTTTCTTGTGAGATGAATTTGTTCAAGGCAATTATAGCAAGATAAGTAACTTCTCATAAGATTTTACATAAAGGTTTTTCAATTGCTGGTTTTGAAGATATTAATTTGCATCATTTTACTTTTACATACAGTGCCCTTAATATAAAACCAATATTTTGTTTACTTCCCTTGACTCTGTACTTTAATGGAAGAGATGATCCAGTGAAGCCTAATGGATTTCCATAGAGATATCTTTGAACTCTTGTTACTGTTAATACTAAGATGAGTCCATTTACACCTGTTCTGGGAAATTAATTAGTGCTTTTAACTGACTATAAAAAATCCTGTGAGGTAGGTGGACAAAGAGCAGATATTCGGGATGGTTAAAGCCCATGTAAGGCAGAAGGCCAGAGCTAAGCTAAGAAATACAAACCCATATTGGTCCCCAGGGGTATATAGCTACCGTAGGAAGATTTGCTTTGCTCCTTCCCATAACTAAGTGCTCACAGCTCTCCCGAGGCCCAGGATGCTGCTCTAGGAGCAGGTGAGTGAGCACTGAGTGGACATCACTGTCCCTCACCCTGCACTGGCTGGCAAAGGCCAGCTCTAGGAGCCTGGGGAGGAGGCACTCGGGGATGACTTCCACCTACAGCTGCAGGGTACCAGCACAGACAAAGTCATCACTGAGCTTGTTAATTACTCTGGCAACCAAATAATCTGGCCGTGCTGCCATGCCCAATCAGATGTCACCACTGAACTCTGACAGCCTCAGATGTCTGCAGGAAGCAATCCCAGAAACCCTGGCTGTCAGACAGTTCAAGGGGTACCACCTCAGTCTTCCACATGGGAACAAGAAGTGGCTGCTTGATGAGGAGCTGAGGTTCCTCCAGAGGAGGTGCTTTCCCAACAGCCCAGCTCTGTCCCACTCCATCTTTATGAGTTTTTAATTCCCCCCAGGAAGAGCAAAGACAGATCCTCCAGCAATGCTGCATTTAACCCTCTTCTCCATCCCTGTCACTCACGGTGATTTTCCAAGCATTAAAGCACTGTTCCAACACCTGTCCAAGCACACCCACCCAGGCACCCAAGTTTCCACTGGTCCTGAAGTGCTTGGCTTGCAGACAGCAGAGCAGGAGTCCAGCAGGCACAGCCCAGCACTGCTCCCATTCCCTCTCTGCACTCCACAGCCAGTCTCCCAAATGCTGTGGTTTACGTCTGCTATTTCCAAACCCATTTGTTGCCAGGTTCCAGGCATAAGCAAAGCAATTCAGCAAACATTACATTTAGGGTAACAGGTATCATAAAACTCGCAGAATGTCAAACAGCAGCAGTGAAGTCAACTTGAATTCCCTGCAGAGGCACAGCGAGCACCAGGCAGAGCCATTGCTCTGCACAAGGACACAGCCAGAGGCTGTTAATATTTTTTATTTTAAAGTTACTGTCTTCCATTTGCAATTGCTTGTGACTCTTCCAGGCAAGGAGGGGATTGGAATAATTGTGCTACTCAGCAGTCCCTGATTTATTTTGTTGATGGAACAAGAACCACGATGATTTGGTTTAAATTAATCGTATTTCAGTACCAGCACTGGCTGATGACAGGAGCTTGTTAACCTGCCCTCCCCAAACACAATCTCTGCTGCACAGCCTCAGCTTGTACAGATCCTACACTGCTTACAGGTGCTTCAACACCTCCAGGCACAACCTCAGAGGTCTTTGGGTCTTTTAGAAACAGAATTTCTTGTACTGCTCTTGAGGTCCTCATCCCATCCAAAGATCTCCTCCATCCTCACTGATATCCAGGCAGCTTCCCCTGCTCCTCACCCTTGTGTCAGTGAAATGGAAACCCAGCAGCACAAGTTCAGGTTTTGAGTCATTCTCCTGGAACAGGCTGAATTAATGCTCCCAGTTAGTCTCTCTGCATTAGATCAGTGTTTAAATGCACACAAGTAAAAATGACTCGATGAAGGGTGAAATGGGTGAGTGTTCAGTCTCCAGCTGAAGTACTCCTCTGCACTGAGCTCCCGTTCCCTATCAGATGGAAATATAATGAATGCTGCTTCATCGGTGTTTGGTTTTGTTTGTTTCTCCCCCAAGCAGAAATGATCCAATTTTTCAGTGATCAGCCACATGCAAATCTGAGCTTCTGTCCCATTACCCCCTTACAAGACAGGGGCCTATTGCTACCTTGTAAAATCAGACACATCCCGTGGCTTTAAACCAGAAATCTGCACTACATGCTTATTTTTAATGTGTCTAAGATAATTTCTGTACTACTTTAATGGAAATAAAGTTGATTTAATTTTGTGATCTGTGAGCTATCAAAATCCATCTGTTCAGACCTATGAAACTTACCCAGGAGCTGAATTTCATCTTTCTTATGACGTTTTCCATAAAAATTAAACAAGTTCAGAGGGGGATACAGTATTTCTCCTCCCCTCCCAAAAGGAACAAGCAAGGAAACAACAGAAACCAAAGGCAGCAGCTCCTCCCTCCCCACACCTTCCTCCACTGCAAATGTCCCAGATGCTAAAATTGGTGCTGGGCTTTGCTTTTTAAGGCACCACGTTAGCAGGATGCTTAGAGATAATTTCAGAATCAGCTGGAAATTCAGCATTTCACATCTTGTGTAAAAATCTGCCTTGTGAGAGGCATCTAGGGAAAGGTACCAGAAGCCTTGAGGGGTATAGTCAGCCCTCCGATGGGGTGAAACAGCATTGTACACCCCTGTGTAAGCAGGTTGTACACCCCTGTGTAAGCACCAAGAAGCTACACCTGCCATCTCCCAACCACTCCTTTGTAAAAAGCCAAACAAAACCCACCCCATTTTTCTTTTTACTAATGAAAACACTAGTAAGTGAACTATTCTACCAGCTTAGCAACCCAAGATTACAGAGTCCTAGATGCATTGTGTTTAAATTATGTTTCAAGAGCCAACTTCTGGTGGGAGGGGGTGTGAGTAATGGAGTAAAACAAGTGCAGTGTACAGAAGCATTTTGTTATTAAAATTGTGTATACTGTAAAACTGAATTTGCCTCTTTCTTCCTCCCTTTTCAAGCAGAGGTGCCAAAAGCTCACTCTTTCATGGCATGTTAAAAGCAGTCTGCACCCACTGTCCCAAGCAGCAGAGTCAGGTTTGGGCCATTTGCCAGAGTCACAGCAAATCCAGCCCCTTCTGTTGTACCACAGTGAGCAAAATACAACCTTCTGCTGTACCACAGTGAGCAGGGCTGCAGGGCTCTTCCCAAACCAGGTGTCCCCT